AAATAACTTAGGATGGTAAAAGATTCATTTGGTTTACACTTCCAGGTCATAATCCATCACTGAGGGAAGTCAAGACAGGAACCAAGCAGGAGCTTAAAACAATCTCACTCAAAAACTGAGCGGTGTGCATGTGTGCTTTATCTATCTGTCTGTCTGTCTGTCTACCTATCTACCTATCTATCTATCTATCTATATAAAACTTTCTCTTTCTCTCATACACAGGGTGGAGAGAGCTCATGCTTAGCTACCTTTATTTTTTTTCCCATTTTTTAAAAATTATGTCTCGGGGCTGGAGAGACAGCTCAGGGGTTAAGAGCACTGGCTTTTCTTCCAGAAGACCCAGGTTCAATTTCCCAGCACCCACATGGTAGCTCACAACTGTCTGTAATCCAGCTCCAAATGATTTGACACCCTCACTGAACATACATGCAGGCAAAACACCAATGCACATAGAATCAAAAACTAAAAATATTTTTTAAAAAATATGTCTGGGTGTTTTGCCTGAGTCTGCCTGTGCATGCCTGTGGAAGCCAGAAGAGGGCATCAGATCCCCTAGACTGGAGTTATAGATGGTTGTGAGACATTCCATGAGTGCCGAGAATCAAACCTAGGTGCCCTGGATGACCAGCCAGTGCTCTTAACTACTGAACCATCTCTTCAGCACTTAGCTACTAGCTTTCTTAGTAGCTCAGGGCTTCCTGCCTAGGGATGGTGCTGCTCACAGTGGTCTGGACTGTCCAGTCTAAATAAGTCACACAGACATGTCCACATTCCAATCTCATTTCATTCCTCGGTTGAGGACCTCCTCTCTCATGACTCCAGGCTGTTAACAAAGGTTGACTTAGTTATTTTTCCCTTGAGGAGACATCGTGACCAAGGTAACTGAGAAAGGAAAACGTTTACTGGTGCTCATGGTTCCAGTGGGTTAGAGTTCGTGATCATCGCGGTGGGGAGCATGGCGGCAAGCAGACAGCCACTGGAGCAGCAGCCAATAGCATTCACCCATCCTGATCTGCAAGTGGGAGGCAGAGAACCAACTGGAATGGCCTGGACTTTTGAAACCTCAAAGCCCACCCTTAGTGACACACCTCCCCCCAAAGGCCACCACTTAATCCTTCCCAACAGTTCCACCAATGGGGGACCAAGAATCTAAACATAAGAAACGATGGGGACCAATCTCATTCAAACCGCCACACTGGGACATATGCTAAATGAAAGAAATCATTCGCAGGGGCTGGAGAGTTGGCAGAGATGGCTCAGCGGTTAAGAGCACTGGCTGCTCTTCCAGAGGTCCTGAGTTCAATTCCCAGCAACCACATGGTGGCTCACAACCATCTGTAATGAGATTTGGTGTTCCCTTCTGGCCCGCAGGCACACATGCAAACAGAACACAGTATACATAATAAATAAATATTTTTTTAATAAATCATTCGCAAGGACCACATGTTACAGACTTTCATCGATATGATATGTTCAACAGAAGGATACTCATAGGGACAGAAATAAATGTTGGTTGCCAGAACTGTGTCAATTGATGGGAATGAGGAGCAGCTGCAAATGAGTGCGGGGTTTCCTATCAGAGTAATAAGAAGGTTAGGTTGTGGTGATGACACCACAGTGAATATACAAAAAAATCATGGCATGCTTTAACTTTGCAGCCTGTATTATGTAGAATATGTCAATGAAGCTTACTTAAGGAAAAGAAAAACAATCACCAAGTATGGGAATTACAGTACTGTGGTAGTCATTAACATTTTAACATGAAAAAGGTAAGTGCTAACCTAGGCAGATGATTCAGCAGATAATGGCTCTTGCCACCAAGTCTGATGACCTGAATTTGAACCCCAGGACCCACATGATGGAAGGAGAGAGCTCACTCCCACAAGGTGCACACACACGCAATTAATTAAGAGAACCTAAGTGTGGAGGTATAGGAGTGCATGATGGGTTGTGGTTAGGTTGATGGTTAGGTTAGAGCATCTACCTGGGGAGTCTAATGCATGATGGGTTGTGGGTCTGTGTCTAATACAGGACCTGAGAGGAGTTTCGGGAGTTTGATCTCTGTGATCTGTTGTACAATAATAAAAACCCAGAGACAGATATTGGGGTTCAACCTGAAGATCAGAAGAGCAAAGCAGCCAAGCCACTAGAGAGCTCTTACCTCTATGAAATCTTCAGACTGGAAGAGAGTGAGTTCCTGTCTTCTGTCTTATATTCCTCTCTAGTGCTGGGATTAAAGGCGTGCACCACCACCGCCTGACCTCTACAGCTAGCTAGCGTGGCTGAATAATATGGCTGTTTTGCGTTCTGGTCTTCAGGCAAACTTTATTATATCATTTATCATTGTATGATATTATAATGAAAAATCATTATACTGAGCTGCAAAGCACAATGGGGATGAGGACAGTCCATCTCTAAGGAACTTGGATTATAAAATTTAGGGAAGATTCATAGGGGCCAGCAAGATGGGGGCTCAGTGGGTAGGCACTTGTCACCAAGACTGATGATCTGAGTTCAATCTCCAAGATCTAAATGTTGGAGAAAACTAACTCTCATGTTATTCTCTGACCTTTGAATATGCATCATAACACCCGCATCCACACACATGTGTGCAAAATAAATAAATAAAATGTAATAAATTAAAATGTTATGTGCTGACAGGGAGCAGTAGCTCCTGACTGTTAAGGAGAGAGGCTAAGGGCAGGAAGATCACTATGAACTCAAAACTAGGCTTGGTCTGCAGGGTGAGCCATGCCTCAAAAAGAAAAAGAAAAAGGCAATAGCTTGGTGGTGGAGTGCTTTCCTCGTATGCTGGAAGCCCTGGATTTGAGTCCCCAGAACTTACTCCATGACAAGAATAACTATTACAATTAAGAATTTGAAGGAGGGAACTTTAGAAAAGGCCCAGCCATTAAAAGCACTTGTAAAACCCCACACACATAAAAAAAATAATTTTTTAAAAGACTCAGTTCAGCTGACACCTCAGGGAAGTCTTGCAATACTCCTTCAAGTTCTTTTTAAAGACTTTTATGAGTGTTTGCCCACATGTATGCCTGCAGCATGTGTGTGCAGAGCGTGCAGAGGTGAGAAGGCTGCACTGGATCTCCTGGGATGGGAGCCACCATACTGGTGCTGGGAATCACACCTGGGGCCTCCGCTAGAGCAGTAAGTGCTCTTAAATGCTGAACCATCTCTCCAGCCCCTTGAGCTGAAGTCTTTTTAAAAATATTTATTTATTATGAATACAGTGTTTTACCTGCATGTATGTCTCCATGGCAGAAGAGAGCACCAGATCTTATTATAGATGGTTGTCAGCCACCATGTGGTTGCTGGGAATTGAACTCAGGACCTCTGGAAGAGTGGCCAATGCTCTTCACCTCTGAGCCATCTCTCCAGCACCAGAGCTGCATCCTGACGAATGATTTCACTAGTGAGACAATGAAGGCCACTCATGAGAAACAAAAGTGGTAAAGAATTTGAACTCAGCCTGTGCTTGTGGCCGGATGATGAGTTAGCAGCCAACATGATGCCCTCCCATAGAGATGCAGCAGCACAGCATGAGACTGGAAGAGCAGCCTAATCATGGACATACTTACGTAGTAACATAAAATCTGTCCCCATGTCCCCACCATCCTGCTCAAGGCCACTGTACATGGAAGGAAGCTGAAAGTAAAGGAACTTGCTCAAGGTTGCACAAGTAAACGGCAGAAACACAGTTTGAATCTACAGTCTAAATTTTTCTTTGTTTTTTGAGACAGGGCTTCTCTGTGTAACCCTGGCTGTCCTGGAATTCACTCTGTAGATCAGGCTGGCTTTGAACTCACAGAGGTCTGCCTGCCTCTGTTTCCCGAGTGCTGGGATTAAAGGCGTGCAGCATCATCCCTCGGCTTTGAAATAATTTTTTAAACAGCAGATGGAAAAAGAGGATAGCAGTTTGACTCAAAGGTTGGTCTGACCTTTCCTACACCCCTGTGATTCATCTGACTGTCCTCAAGCCATTTACTTGGGTTTAAGAGTCAGTCATGAGGGTGGTGGTGGCGCACGCCTTTAATCCCAGCACTCAGGAGGTAGAGGCAGGCAGATCTCTGTGAGTTCGAGACCAGCCTGGTCTACAAGAGCTAGTTCCAGGACAGGCTCCAAGGCTACAGAGAAACCCTGTCTCGAAAAACTAAACAGAAAAAGAGTCAGTCATGATTACAATTTCTACTTGCATATCTTTTTCAATTCAAACTCCAGGGGGTTATGCTGTGTTTTCAACTTTCCAGTATGGGTTGGCAAAACTGACAAAGCCATCCTTGTTTATAGAAATAAAACTCTAAATCAGAACTGGGTGGTGGTTGTTGCATTCCTTTAATCCCAGCACTTGGGAGGCAGAGGCAGATGGATCTCTGTGAGTTACAGGCCAACCTATTCTATAAAGCACGTTCCAGGACAGTCAGGACTGTTTCACAGAGAAACCGTGTCTCGATAATAATAAATAAATAAATATAACTAAAAATAAAAAAATATAAATCAAAAAGTCTTAAATGACTGGGCAAATTATTTGGTTGATAGTTAGGATTTTTTTTTAATAAATACATTACTTTTTTTGTTTGTTTTGTTTTCACACAAGGTCTTGATGTTATGACTCTTTGCTTCCCAAGTGCTGGAATTACAGACGGGCTACCATGCCCGGCATTTAGGACTGTTTTATTCCTTGTTTCCTTTTTTAAATAGGCGCCCTTCGCGGCCGTTTTTTTACCTGTAAAATGAACCGGTTGAAGTATGTATTTCTTTTTGAGCAGCAGAATATTTATTATTCTGAACTTGCTTAGAGTTAGGACGGAAAATCAGTCTCACGAATCTCTCTACTCGTTCACTGTAACGAAATCTGACGTCTCCAAGCAACTGGGAGCAATTGAGGTCTGGGCCACCAGTGGCCGGGGCAAGGTTGGGGCGAGTACGATGAGGCGGCGGAACAGACTTTGCAGGCGCCGGGGACGTGTTTTGCAACGGACCAGCGAAAGGAAGTGTACTTCGCCAATAAGGGCCTCCATGCCCGGCAGTCGCCGGTCACTCACGGCTGCGCAACTTAAGTGGATCTGAGCCTTTGAGTTTCTGGAGACCCGCAGAAGCAGCCAGAACTCCCAGACCTGCTTTTGTTCCGGTAGCAGGTTAGACAGGTTGACCTTGGCCGCTCCTCTTTGCACTCTGCAACCCCTGGTCAAAGCAGATGATGTCGTGGGCTGCTGTCAACCTGAGAAGGACAGCTGCCCGATGCTTTCGTGAGCGATGCCTCGGGTTCCGCGTGGGTCCTTGGTGCGCCTCCCAGCAGGAAACCCCCGGCTGCGGTCCAACTCCACACAGGACGCTACGTGTCAGCGCGGCGGCCTCCGCGGGACACAATAAATGGTCTAAAGTCCGGCACATCAAGGGCCCCAAGGACATGGAAAGGAGTCGAATCTTCTCTAAACTCGCTCTCAGTATCCGCCTAGCTGTTAAAGGTGAGAACCTAACAGTCCCCACGCTGATTGATCACTGAGGCCCTTTCGGTGCCTAAGGCTTCACTTGCCCCCCTAAGCTGACTTCGGGCCAATTATTTTCTTCGCGTTTTCCAGTTGCCATCCTTGTCCTACCCATGATTCTCAAAGCACCCACCTTCACTGGATATTTCTGTTTTTCTTTCCAAAAACCTGCCCTTAGGAAGAGAGAAATGACTCCATCCAAGTCTCTAGTTAGGTAGGTACTAAAGAGAAGTAAAACTAAAGAGTCAAGTCAGGACTTAGAGAGGCCTTAGCGCTTAAGAGTACCTGCTGTTCTTGCCTGGGACCTGTTTGGTTCCAAGCACCCACATAACTGCTAACAACCACCTGAACGCCAGTTCCAGGGTACTCAACCTCGTCTTCTGGTCTCCGCGGGCACCGCATGCATCATGCATGCAGGTAAACACATAAACAAATCTTTTTTTTTCCCCCAAAAGTCAGGTGTGTGTCTTTCTTGAAGGAATAAAGCAAGCCTTCTGCAGCTGCTTTTGCTACCACTGAAGGTCGTGGCAGGCATGCTGAGTTGAGTCATTTCTTGCTTAGGCTTCACTCTCCCTGGCTAGAACTCCTGAGACATTTTCCTGGAAGGTGGAACCATGTCTCTGCTCAGTGGTCCAACCGTCTTTTGCTTGTTTGAGGCACTGGAAGGATTAGGGGGAAATCCTGTGAAAAAGTGTGGATCTGGTGTTAGGAAGATGTGAATTCTTCCTAGGTTGGTTCAAAGGCCTTCAACAAGTGGTATAACTACTGAGTTTCAATTTTTGGTAAAGCAAGGATAATACCCACCTTGAGGTGGCTTACAGCATACAGAAGGCATTACTCTGGTGTTACTTTACCCCTATAACTCATACCTGATGCTTCCCTTTGCTTCCTTTCCTAACAAAGTTTTTATTTAACCAATATGTTATTTTGAGTATAGCCCCTCCAGAGCCTGAGCATGCGTCCAGTGTCATGTGAGCATCTCAGAGATTATGTACTAAGAGAGAATGAGCAAGAATGTTGTTATGATTCAGCCACTTCATCTGACAAAAGTAGAGTTTGCTGAAACCTAGCAAAATGATAACTATCCCTAAAGGCAGAGTGAATCAGGAACTTCTTTTCCAGGCTGGGTATGTAGCCCTGTGGTAAAGCATAGTATTTAGCGTGGATAAGGCCTTGGGCTCCATTTCCTGTATCCCCCACCAAAGAAACTTCTTTTCCAAAATAGTTCTTCTTATTCCAGTGGAATCATGAGATTTTGTTTGTTTGAGACAGAATCTCTCCTCTCTCTCTCTCTCTCTCTCTCTCTCTCTCTCTCTTTCCTTTCTTTCTTTTTTCTTCCTTTTGGTTTTTCAAGACAGGGTTTCTCTGAATAACAGCCCTGTACTGTCCTGGAACTTGCTCTGTAGACCAGGCTGGCCTCAAACACACAGAGATTCACCTGCCTCTGTCTCCTGAGTGCTAGGATTAAAGTCAAGTGCCAACACACTTGGCCAGAATTTCACTCTTAACTGAAACTGATCCAGAATTCATTATGTAGTTCAGGCTCCTGCCTAAGCCTACTGTGTGTGCTGGGATTGCGGGTGTGCACCACTATGCTTATCTAGATGAAATAGTCTGCCTGCCTCTCTCTCTCTTCCCCCCCCCTCTGTGTGTGTGTGTGTGTGTGTGTGTGTGTGTGTGTGTGTGTGTGTCACAGCACACACATGGAAGTCAGAGGTCAACTCTCTGGAGCTGGTTTGGCCTTCCTCCTTGTGTGGACTCTAGAGATGGGCCCATGTTGCTAGGCCTGTGCAGTAAGCACTTTTGCCACTATCTCTCTGGCTCATTTTTTTTTTTAATTTTTGATTCAGGGCTCTTAGTGGCCTAGAGTTCACCAAATATGCAGGCTGGCTGGCCATAGAAAGTACCAAGATCTGTTTCTGCCTGCCTGTTTCTGGGATTAGAAGCTGGTGCTGGTTTTTTCTTATATGTGGGACCTAGGATCAAATTCAGATCTTTTGCTTAAGGCAAACATATTACACACTGAGGCATCTTCATTAGATAGCGTATTCTTTTTTTGTTTGTTTGTTTTCGAGAAAGGGTTTCTCTGTAGCTTTGGAGCCTGTCCTGGAACTAGCTCTTGTAGACCAGGCTGGTCTCAAACTCAGAGATCCACCTACCTCTGCCTCCCAAGTCCTGGGATTAAAGGCATGTGCCACCACTACCTGGCAGATAGTGTGTTCTAATAGAGAGTAATCTGCCATTGTTTTGGGGTTGGAGAGGATGGAAAGCACTTATTTCTCTATACTAGGATGAGATGTCTTTGATCATTCTTTTCCCTTTATCCAGAGGGAGGCCCCAACCCTGAGAACAACAGCCACCTGGCCAACATCTTAGAGGTGTGTCGAAGCAAGCATATGCCCAAGTCAACCATTGAGTCAGCACTGAAAACAGAGGTGTGTCCTCAGTTTCATGTTGTTGCTATTTTCCACAGCCCTCAGAGGTTCCTGTTTGGAAAGCCACCGAAAACTCCTTAAATTATCAGAGAGAAAGAAGAGCAGGAACATGGTTGACATTGCAGCCCAGAGACCTTTGGGGGTTCTGTCTCCTTGGCCTTTAGTTAGAGGAACATGACTGGGCAAAGGCTACATAGACAGTATGGAAACCCATGGGGGTAGAGCTGCTTTGTCAAGCTTGGAGAAGATGGGCTAGAAAGGGCAGGTAAGACTAGGGAAAACCCTAGCATTAGGTTGGAGAAGGGCTTGTTTTTATTTCCAGATATTTATATCTAAAGGAGAAAAGTCAGTAAAAAGGGAGGTTAAGGGCAATGGTAACGGTCGGAATGGGAGAGATGTTGGGCTCCAGCACATCTTCCTCTGGAACAGGTAAGGATTTGAAAGGCTAATAATCATCTTTTTGTTGTTTTATTTTGAAAGAGGATCTTTTTGTGTAGCCCAGGCTAGCACGGAACTCATGATCCTCCTGCCTCAGCCTCACAAGGACTGAGCCTACAAAGGTGTCTCTTCACTTCCCAGAGTAGTCATATAATACCTGACTGTTATCGGGTTCTGGTTCCTGACCAAGTCCTTTAATAAAAACTCTGCATGCAAGACCTCAGTGTATCCCAAAAGTGACCTAAGATGGAAACTAAGGCACAGAAAGATTTAGTGACTTGGATTTAGATCATGCAGACAGTGACAGACCCAGACCCCAGAGCTCAACAGGGAGCTTGAATTTCATCTATGAGAGTGGAGGGGAGGCGTCGTCAGTTGAAAAGGAAAGGTATAGGCATGGTGCTTTTCAGTAGATCCCACGACAAGTTCTATATATGTGATGTTTCTATAGCAGTGCCCAGCAGCCCAGGGCTCAGAGAATTGAGAGTTCCTAAGTAGGTTTCACATGGAATGGAATGCAGGAAGATGACTGAAGGTTGTAGTGACTATGGGCATGGAAGTGGATCTGGTTAGGGAGGGTGGAGGCAGAGCTGGGAAAAGCCATTCAGGAACTGGGGAAACAAACTCCCTTTTAGAAGGAACAGGATTTCCAGTAATGTCAGAAGTCGATACCATTGGCCTCCCCTCAGAAGTCAGAAACAAATGTGAAGACTTGAGAAGTCAAGCTCAAGTAATTCTTGAGAGGTCATACACAGAGCCACTGTTTTAGTCTCTGTGCTTTGGTGCTGGCATGAGGGCACTGGGACATTAGGAAACAGGACAGTGGATTCTTTTTTTTTTATTATTGCAGAAAAACAAGGGCGTTCATTTGCTATACGAGGGTCGAGGTCCTGGTGGCTCTTCTCTGCTCATTGAGGCATTATCGAACAGTGGTCCCAAGTGCCATTTGGACATTAAATACATCCTGAACAAGAATGGGTAAGTGTGTGTATATAAGCAGGAAGGGACAGAACCTTGAAGCTCCAATTCCATGCAATGCAAATGCTGTTGGTCCTCAGCAGTATTTCAGGTTGTAAGCGTGCTTCTTCCTTAGTGGAGTCCAATGTAAGAACTGGTTTTCCCTTAATGTCTTCTGAATGAGATAGGATCCCATAGGTATAAATGAGATCTTTTCCGTTTGATGTCCATATCATTTTCCATATGATGTCCCAGTCTTAAAACATTCCACCGGGACAGGAGTTTTAATGGAATAGGAAACAGCGAGCAACACTGTATCCTGCAGACTCCAGTGAGTTCAGAAAATAGAAGATGGGGATGTTCTTGGACAATCCTGTTACCCAGCATCAGCAGCATCTTCTTCGTGAAGAGAGCTGCTGGGTGTCCCTGGGTACTTGAGGGGCCCAGTGGCTAAGGGGTGGGGTTAGAATGCAGCATTTAGTGGAGACTGAGCTTCTAAACTCCTCCATGCCTTGTCTGGTCCCTTTCCTGTCAGGGGAGTGATGGCCGAGGGAGCACGCCATTTCTTTGACAAAAAAGGAGTGGTTGTGGTCGGAGTGGAGGACAGAGAGAAGAAAGCTGTGAACCTGGAGCGCGCCCTGGAGCTGGCAATTGAAGCAGGAGCTGAGGATGTGAAGGAAGCTGAGGATGAAGAAGAAAAGAACCTTTTTAAAGTGAGTATGGAGGCCGGTAAGGTGGCTCAGCTTGCTTCCAAGCCTGACAGCCTGAAGCCTTCATGTTTGACGGGCTTCCAAGGGGTTCCCAATAGATACTGTAAGGTATACTTTTGGGCTTCTTCCTTCCTGTGTGTCAGGATACAGGTAAAGCAAAAATTTACAAGTTGCACAGTGTTATTAAGATAATACTGGAGGATAGGATCTATTCCTCTGAGTTGATGAGAAGGATTCTGAACATTGGAATCTGTGAGCTTACACCAATGATAATATAGTACAGGTTGCTCCACTCAGAACTTTGCAAAGTTCTGTCTGGCATGTGGCATTAATTTCCTGACTTCTGGGCTGGAGAAATGGCTCAGCGGTTAAGAGCACTGACTGCTCTTCCAGAGGACCCGGGTTCAATTCCCAGCACCCACATGGCAGCTCACAACTGTCTGAAAATCCAGTTCCAGGGGATATGACACCTTCACACCAATGCACATAAAAAAATAAAGATAAAAAAATCATTAAAAAATTTTAAAAAATTCCTGACTTCTCACCTCCTGACTTTGTTTTACCCCTAGTTTATTTGTGATGCCTCTTCATTGCATGAAGTGAGGAAGAAACTGGACTCCCTGGGCCTGTGTTCTGTGTCCTGTTCCCTGGAGTTCATCCCCAACTTAAAGGTGCAGCTGGCTGAGCCCGACCTGGACCAGGCTGTTCACCTCATCCAGGCTCTCAACAACTATGAGGACGTGATTCATGTTTATGACAATATCGAATAACCCAACTATACATGCCTCCGGGCTCTTTCCTAGGTTGCATGAGCCTATGCAGCAAATTGGAGGCTGCAACAGGCGGGCACCTATCAGAGACCTGATGCTATGGCTTACAGCCTTAAGAGAAAGGAACTCTTAGCTCTGTTGGTGTCACAGGGCCATCTGGGATACAAGGTGAGACTAGCCAGCTGGTCTGACTCTGATCTCAGGTGACTGGCCCTTGTCAAGATTTTAAGTGTCTTGTGGTACTATAGAGTGGGAATTGATCATCAATAATAATAGCCGTGATTGGTTATTCTTGGATGCTGCATTGCTGGTATGACTCTTGAGTTGTCCCCAGTTTGTGTCCAGGTTTTGAATTTCTGGACTATTGTTCAGGCCCATATGCTTATTTCTATATTTTAATATTAAGATTGTCTTTTTTTCTTTTCTTTCCTTTTTGCAATAGAAATGTGACTGTTCTGTGTGGTTGAATGCTGGCCTAATGACCTAACCTTTTCACTTGCTCATGCAGCTAGTATTTCTTGGACATTGTTCTTTACAAGAATTGTGCTTTTTCAGAGATCAGGCTGTTCAAGTGATGCTTAGATCTTACTCTAAGATGTAGGACCTTAAAGGACATGGGGCTGTACCCATGGAGCTGTCCCAGGGTAGTGTGGACTATGTTCATCTTTTTTTCTTCATGTGGTTTCTGTTCCCTTTTCTGTTTGATTATGGCTTTAGTGCCATAGGAAGTCAGGTGTCAGGGAAGGGGCTTCCTCAGGACCTACTTTGACCAACCCCTGTGTGTTCTGATATTGATAACAATGGAGCTATCAGCAGATGGGGTTGTTCTCTTGGAAGGCTTGTACTAACCTAGGTTTGAAAGCTTGAGGACTGCAGAAGGCCATCTTTAGCTCTTTCCAGTGGTGCCAGACGATAGGAGCACCAATAACTAGAGGGAAACAGGGACAAAAGGAAGAGTGATGGCTGAGCCAGAGCCTGGCCGTTTGAACCTTTGGCTCTTAACAGTCACTTCAGGGTTTAGAGTTCTAGCAGGGTCGACTGCCTGTGCTGCAGTGTATTGAGCATAGTGAGTCTGGAGTGGCTTTTGAATCCAGGTCATCTACCAACTTAAAAGTTGTTCAAGTCAGTTCTGAGCTCAGAGTGCCTCTTTCTGAAGGAGCCTTAGGTAAATGAGCGTGGAAAGACCTAATGCTGTGAAAGACACTCCAGCTTCTGGGAAAGGACAACTGGAAAGCCAGGGAGGAAAAAACAAAACAAAAACCAGAACAGCCCAAGATCATACCAAACCACATGCCCTTATGCCTCATATCAAAGACATAGTACTAACCAGGATTTTTTAGTTTAGCTGGGGACAAATCACCTAAATATCTGAATTAGGACATCCTCAGAATGGGATAACTTGATGTTGATAAACTGCTTTACAATTGATAAGATATGTTACTTGATTTTACAACACACCAATAAAATAGAACAAGGGCTGAGGGGGGTGGCTTAGTAAATAAAGTGTTTGCCATGTAAATGTGAGGACCGGAGTTCAAATCCCCGGAAGTCATGTGAAGCCTACAAAGAGCAGTGTGTGTGTATGTGTGTGTGTGTGTGTGTGTGTGTGTGTGTGTGTAATCCCAGTGTTCCTATGGGAAGGTGGAGGCTAAGACAGGAGAATCCCCTCAAGTTTGTGAGCCAGCAAAGAAGAGACCCTGTCTCAAACAAGGTGGAAGCTGAACACTGACACTCTCTCTACACACGTGCCATGGCACGTGTGCCCTCACATACAAGCATACTGGCATATCATATACACACCCATGTGCACACATACATGCACAAAAAAGATTTAAAAAAAGTTACTTTATGTATAAGTTATCTTACACCTAGGGCTGAAGAGATGGCTCTCATTTTTTTTCTGAACTAGGGCACTCACATATACATGGCATACACTCACATAGACACACACACATAAATAATCAAAAATGAAAATAAATATCATAAAAAAAAACAAAGCCCTCAAGTTATCTTGTACCAAACGAGGAGGAACAGGTCTAATATGGCATCTTATGTTGGTAGTGCTTGTGTATAAAATAGCTGTTTTAGAAATGTTGAATATAAATTAAGCGGAAGGAATGTGATCATTTCTCAGCTGAGAAATCTGTATGAGGGACGCTTGTTCTTAAAGGGAACTTGGCTACTCTTAGGAACAGGACTCATCCAGTCTAGAAGGGTTTGTTTGTGAATCTGGATTGTTGTGGAACCAGCTTTTTTAGCCCAGCCCCAGGCTCTGTGCCTGTGAGGGTAGCTCTGCACTGACCCCTGGTGGTGCCCTTCGCGCTCCTACAGCTAACAAGGAAAAGCAGAAGTGGACTAACTTGAGCCTTCCCGCTGTTTCTGGATCTAGTTGAGACCATGAAATACAAATAAATATAGTCATAGCCATACACTGTAACTAAGCACAAGAAGTCACCAGGATTGGAGGACACATAGTAAAGGCACTTAAGAAGAAAAAGATCGAGTGATAAATAGTCTGATTTTCATCAGTATAAAAGTGAATTTTGTAACAAGGGCATCTGTGTTTCAAGGAAGAAAGCTTAGAGTTTTCCTTGGTATATTGTCTTTGAAATTTCACATGGTTATGAAGGGGGTTGCCAGGAATCTCAGAGTAATAATAAAAGTTCGGGCATGGGCAGGCAAAAGTATGGCTCTTGATATTGCATAGTAAAGCCCCAACAGTCACTATAAAAAAGTTATCTTTCTGAAAATACTCTATATCAGCTGGATATGGTGACCCACACCTGAAACCCCAGCCCTTGGAAGGTAGAGGTGGGAGGACTGCTGAGGATTTAAGGCTACTTGGTCTACATATGGAGTTCCAGGCCAGCTGAGGTTACATAGTGAGACTTTGCCTCAACAAAACCAACCAACAAACAAAAGAATATTTTATATCATAAAATGTTTACAATATAATATTATACAAAGATTCAAAGTTACATCTATGTTGGGCTAGGGAGTAGCTCAGTGGTAGAACATGTGCTTATCATGTGTGAGTCCCAGTCATCTGGAAGTCTGAGCATAAGGGTTTTTGTTTTTTTAAACAAAACTAGGGTTTCATTGTATAACCCTGGTTATGCAGAACATATGGAACTTGAACTTCCTGCCTCTGGCTCTGAGTGCTGATGACAGATGTGAGCCACCACACCTGGCTCTGGTGTACCTTTGTGTCTGAAAAAACGGGCTGGGATGACTTACATCATCTTATCTTTGATCATTATCTTTGTAATACAAAGTTATTTACTGCCTTGAAGCCACACTAGGGTTATGTTCAAGTGTCCTTGTGACAGGCTTTGTCTACAGCCCAACTTTGACTTGTACGTGTGTGTACAAGAAGTGCTCCTTACTTACAGGAAGTGCTCCTGTGGGGCTGTGGATGTAGTTCATATGACAGAGTATTTGCTTAGCATGCACAAAGCCCCAGCCATAATCCCTAGCACCATGTAAACTGGACATGGTAGAGCACACCTATAATCCTAGCATTAGGCGGGGAAAGAAGCAGGGTTCCTATGTATAACTGCTGCCCTTCTGCAAGAGGCCCTGGTCCTAATCAACTATGGGGATTCTCCAGCGCTGCTGAGTTACTATTTTTAAACTCTGCACATGTGTGTGTGCACTAGCCGAAGGGCAGCTTTCTCTGCCATCCTCAGGAACACCATCCACCTGTGCGACAGGTCCTCTCATCTGGAGTTTAACAGTTAAGTGAGGCTGGCTGGTGAGCAGCTCCAGGGGTTCTCCTGTCAGCTTCCCTTTGCATGGGTTCTGGTGAATACACTCAGGTTCTGGCACTTGCAAGGCAAGCACTTCACTGACCTTTCTCCCCAGCCCCAGTTATTTTTTTTTTTCAAATTTTATAGCAAAGAAGATAATAAAGCTTCAACTCCAAGTCTCTGACTCCTGGGTGTTTGTTTGAATTATTATGGACTTCTCTGGAGATGTTCTGTGAAGTCAGTGGCTCTGGCAGAGGTGAATGCTGTGCTAACTGCCAGACTAGTTTCAAACTCATCCTGTGTTCAGCCACTGAATAGGGTGGCACCCTTACCTTTTTTCTTCCTTGTATCTTTGCTTGTTACAAAAGGGTTATTTTTATTTATTTTAAAATTTTATTTTACTGTGTGTGTGCACACGTGTTCATCTGTACAGTGTATGTGGGTGTCCATGGAGACCAGAAGGAGTTACAGGCAGCTGTGAGCCATGACAGTGTGGGTGCTGGGCACCAAACTGTAGTCCTTTACAAGAGCAGCAAATACTCTTAACTGTGAAAATATCTCTCTATCCCTCTACTTTTTTTTTAAGTTAGTAACTGCAAATGGTAGTATATGCCTATAATCTGAGCACTGGGAAGACTGAGGTAGGAGGATCGCCTGAACTTGAAGTCGGCATGGGTTTAGGGAACAAAATCCTGGCTTTGCTAGTCTTGAACAAAAACTTAACCTCTTTCTACATGACTCTTCCCCTGTGAAGTGGGGGTGTTAGTAATACCTAACTTATAGGGATGCTTAACACGTAAATACTTAAAATATTACTTGGTAACCATAAGCATTCAGTGCAGGAGAGATGGCCCAGTAGGTGCAAAGCAAATTCGCAGACCTGAGTTTGAATCTCCAGAACCCAGGAGAAATCCTAAGTGGTAGCGCCCACATCTGTAATTGCAGTGTTCCTATGGGGAGATGGGAGAGAGAGAGGCAGGAGAATCACTAGATGTTTGTGGCCAGCCTGCTTGGAGTGCTCAGCAGTAAGCAACCAAGAGGTCCTACCTCAGTCAAGGTGGAACCCAAGTCATCCTCTAATCTCTACACACATGCATACGTATACACAAACTGCTTCCCCATACACATACACACACAAGGTAAATTACCCCTGGCTTCCTCAGGCTCCTGAACTCATGCACATATTGCCTTCACTCCCACATACATACAATAATTAAAAATAGTGAAAATAAATCTTTCAAAAATAAAGTCACCATTTATACATTATAATCTGGCTTCAACACCACCACACACACATTAATGAGTATCTAGGATCTTTTTGGTATTTGTAGAGGAAGGCTTTTTATTCTTGTTTGTGTGCATATATTATTTTATTATATTACTATATCATAATTTGTTTAGCCATTCTCTCCATCAGTGGCTATTTGGGTGTCTACTTAGAAAAGAGCTACAATGAATTTTCTTTACTCTTGCTTACTTACAAAGTACTGTTTGGGATAAATTTTTACCAGTGTGGTTTTAAAATGAGTACTATTTTCTTTTCTGGTTTTTTGAGACATTCTCTGTAGCTTTGGAGCTTGTCCTGGAACTCACTCTGTAGACCAGGATGGCCTTGAACTCACAAAGATCCACCTGCCTCTGCCTCCCAAGTGTTGGGATTTTAGTTAGAAGAAAATAGCAGTAATTTTTAAGAAATCATAGTTGAAAGAATCTTCTATGAGGTATGCATATTGTTCCTTGATGACATATAAACTAACCAGTTCAACGGGTAATCTAAAGTGTACCTTGCTTTATCTCTGAATTTAAAAAATTTTCATAAATCAGGTGATAGGTTTACTGGTATTTTTCTTTTGTGAATCAAATCCATTGATCTCTCCCCTAAGACAATCCATTTATCATTCTTACTGTTCCTTCTGTGTCCCATTGTCACTGTGTTCTTGAAAGAAAAGAATGAAAATGTGCAGCTAGTATGTAATTGGGCTGCACTTTCTCAGGCCCTGGCACTAGGAGTGGGTGTGACTCAGATACCCAGAGACCAGCCAGTATAAAACTGGGAGACAGCCTTTGAAAGGCTTAGCCCAGCTAGGAGGCTCCACACAGTAGTAACAAAGAGAGGGGAGAAAGCAACCTCCAGAGAGAAGATAAAATACATGGCTAAGCATAACTGTGGAAATTGCATTCAATTACGAGTATCCCCATTTGACATTCAACACACAGACGCTCACACACATTGTTGTTTTGAGATAGGGTCATGCTCTGTTATGTGGTCCTGAGGAATGATCCTTGCTGTGTAAACTAGGGGCTGGCCTTCATCGTGAGGCAATCTTCCTGCCTTTGCCCGCCGAGTGCTAGGATAACAGGCACATGTGCCCTACTACACCCATCAGGTATTTTGAATATACTATTAAAGATGGTTCGCATGCCAATTTGAATGACAGCTGCTTTCTTGCTCACATGCACCCCCCTCCCCCAGTGCTAGGGGAGCAAACCCAGGGTCTTGCACATGCTAGGTGAATGAACCTTTACCACTGAACCCTGGTCCCCCACCTGACAGCTCCTGTTTCTCTGCTTATTTTGCAAATTGAAGTTATATTAGAGCAGAATAAGTGCTTGGATGAAGAAAGTCCCAGGTGCCCTGAGAGCAAGCACATCAGAGGACCTTAGCCCCATTTGAGAGGTAGGGGAGGCTTCCTCAAGGAGTGATGGAGAACCGAGGACTTAATTCTCCCCTGAAGGAATGCGAGTGGAAGCAGAAATGGAGAACATTCAATGCAGAAGAACATAGTACACACAGGACTATGTGGGGAGGGACAGGGGATGGATTGAAAAGTAGAGATTTGAGGGATTATTTATTGGTATGTGTGTGTGCATGAACGTATGTATATGTATGACATGCATGTGTGGTGCCTGTGGAGTTTAGATGAGGTTCCATTTCCTGGAGCTGGATTTACAGGCAGTTATGAGTGGGCCAGTGTGGGAACTGAACCTGGGTTCTCTGGAAGAGCAGCCAGCACTTACTACTGGGCCATCTTTCCAGCCCCATTTGATTCATCTTAAAACTGATGGGATAAGTGTGTAAATAGGGTTTGCTAGGATCATGTGTCTGATAGAAAGATCACTCTGGTGTGAACGCACTTTAAGAGATTTTGATGGAACTGGGCAGTGGTGGTGCATGCCTTTAATTCTGGCACTTGGGAAGCAGAGACAGGTGAATCTCTGAGTTCAAGGCCAACCTGGTCTACATGAGCTAGTTCCAGGACAGGCTCCAAAGCTACAGAGAAACCCTGTCTCAAAAAACCAGAGAGAGAGAGAGAGAGAGAGAGAGAGAGAGAGAGAGAGAGAAGACAAGAGAGTTAAATATTATGGGGGTGGGGGTGGGAATGAAGAAGAAAAAGAGGATTGTCCGAAACACTAAAGAGATCTGACACTCCAGGCAAAGCCACCACCTAAGGTAAGGGTTTCTAGATGGCAGATGAAAACGACATCTGAAGACTATTCTGTAATCTGAAATATGGCACTAGAACAGTGTACAGAGAAAGGGAATCCACATTAACTGGGTAGAGTTGGAATCCAAAAACTCGGTGTATAAATTGTTGAAGCAATAGGAGTTGGAAAATTAATCACAATGTTCTTTTGAAACATCACACAGCCAGTACAATTGTTTTGAGACCATATTTAGTGGCACAGGAAACACTTATAAAAGTGTAAGCACACCACAAAACAATATGAAGTTATTTTTTTTGTCAAACGTTGTATATCTAGGTAGAGATAGATAAAACTATCTCCAGGATAGAGAATTTCTTTCTACTTTTCCAGTACTTTTCTTTTTAAAACGTGTCTCGCTTTTTATAATTCTAAGAGTAAAACTATTGTCCAAAAGCAACTCTAGCAGAACTCAGAATGTGGGGATCCACATTCCAGCACTTCTCTAGCCTTGGGGATGGAGGAATCAGGACCCATGGATGTAGCCTCGGAGGTCTGAGACCCAGGGGAATGAGAGAAGTAGCGAGACCGCCATCCTGTCCGCAACAGCGGCGTCGGGAGCCTTGGGCTGCCCAGAGGGACCGTGTAGCGCAGTGGCCTCAAGCCTGGAAGCACCGAACCAAACCTTCCCCGCCCATCCCGTGCCAGACGCTTCGCACCAGTAGGGGCGGGACACCTCAGGACGGCGAGGTCGCGGGAAACCGACAATCGAAGGGTCGAAGTTTCCGGTTTTCCGAGGGCCTCTGCCGCTACAGATAACGCCTCCACGAAACCCAAGAGCAGAAGAGCGGCCGAGGGGAACAGCGCCAGCCCGCGCGCACTCCCCGGGTTCCCCGACGGAGTAGCGGTGGGGTTGTGGGCGGAGCCTCAGGCCGGAGCTGTGATTGGAGCAGCCCACACCTTGAGCAAGAGAGGCGGAGGGCGCCAGCTCGAGATGCACCGGGGCGGGGCTCAGCGCTCTCTCCGTGATTGGCTAGGAGCGAAAGGACGGGCGCTGTCTCTCGGTGATTGGCAGGTTCTAGACCGCCCTCGGAAATCGCCTTGACTTCGCCCATTGGCATCCTGTGAGGGTAGGCGGGATTGGTTCGTCGTGATTAGCTGGCGGCTAAGAGTGAGGGTGTTGGGAGCGAGCGGGAGGAGGGGCGGGAGGATCCGACTCCCTCCTGGTTATTGGCTGGCAACGTGATTGGGGGTGGGGCAAAGGCCCAGCGGCTGCCTGGGATTGGCGGGCGCTGGCATGAGTGACGGACGGCGAAGCTAGCTGCGCGCCCAGCGGTTTGTTTTTCGGAGCGTTCCTGAGGTGGAGAACAGTGGCCGGACGGAGCGACTTCTGTACTTCGGGACTGGCGGGCGGGCGGGCCGAGCGGCGCCGCCAAGGCCGAGTCGGGGAGCTCCGGGGATGTAGCGGGCCACCCTGC